TTAAAGAGTTCCCTGAAATCGAAATTTACTGACGAATCACGACCGACAGTTTGAGAAATTGCGAGTTATGACTTTAATACTACGGCGTTTTAACATATGACGTTATGTGGTATTTACCAAACTACACGGAACCACATCCTACCACACTGTAAGCTAAATACTCACCGCCATGATAACTTCTCATATTACAAGTACGTAATATTAGGCATGGCGAGGTAAGAATCCAGTTCCGCTCGCTCCATTTTATATACATACTTCGAAACACGTAACACCTGACAAAAATGCGGTTTGAATACAAAGTGCATGTTTCACTTTTGCATACAGCATTTTCTGGGAACATTTTTCGCTGCGATGTGTAGACAGTTGCACCCCGAGGTGGAGCAGGAATGTCAGTAAATCTTTCTGTAAAGAAGTCCGTTGTTTCGTCAGCTCTTATCCAAAACTGCAATGTGTCTACAAATGTTAATAAAATTCGTCATCAGATTCCTCGAAACCTCGTTCTGCGATTCCATAATTACTTTCGGAGTGACAGAAGTGGCGAAAACTAACAGATGCATTCTTACAACGTAAATAAAACTAAAGCTGTCCCTGTAACAGTCCATGGAAGCCTATAGGGCTATGACACATCGAGGCTCTTACATTTTGTAGACAATCGGCTCGCAGACAGCGGTGAGGCTGTGAGCCTTACGCGTTGGCCGCTTTACCCCCACGAAGATTCCTGGTACCCATTTCTATTAGAGGCTGAATCGATCCCAGGGGCTTAGTGCGGCTGGAAGGAATAGGTTGATTGAAAAATCTAAGGACCTCATCGGGAAACGAACCCGTGATATCGATCCTGGGTATATAAAAATGGCAGATCCTCCTGCTGAAGTACTGTTGTCATAAATGTCTACCGGTAAATTTTTAGACACGCACTGAAGAGGTCCTAGTCCTAAATCTCTACCGCGACGCCAGCCGTTCTGATTAAGGCCGTCGTGGTTTTCTTTACTTCCTCCAGGTAAGTAGCTGGACATTACAGTAGTTATGCCATGACTGTTTCCTTCCCAATAATTCCCAATTCATCATTCATCTGCTGTCCTACAGTGAAGCTACTGACAAAGCTACTGGCAGTTGACAAAGGTGTGCAGAGGGGCCCAAGTGAAGCTTCTGGCATTCCAGACCTTGGCGTTAATGGGACGCAATATATTCCAGGGGAAATTTCTGCCAATATCCACCTGATAAGAGCCTGGATGGGACCCCGAGACAGTCTACGTCATGGTGTATGGGTGATGATTCTGAGAACATTGGCAAGTTATATTTGAGCAAGTAGAATAGGGCATGAAAGTATACCTCAGGGATATGGATACGCGTTAAATACGTCATGACATTTTCATTAATCTCCTAACTTAAAATTCCAACAGAGTCAAGTTGTTTTGGATTTGAGATATTCGGACATACAGCCTCCAAAATGTTAGGTTATTTTATGTAATTTATTTGCTCAGAAGTACGTGTATATAATGATGAAGCCTTCTCACAACAGAATGAAACACGGAAAAAGCTGGGAGCTTTAAACTTCGTTACAAATTAACTGGGATTACATATATACCCAGCTTATGGTTTATCTAATGACGCTGTTACTGACTCGGACCATACAGCTTCAAAGTATTGAAAGGGAAGAAGATTGCAAAGGGTGTTGAAATAAATGATCGTGACTTAATTTACTGCCGCGCAGACAGCCGTTGCTATGCAACAGGCGAATAAACAGCGGTGTTATGCAGCACGCTTCTAGGCAACGGCGCGGTAAACATCTCTACAATAACAGAGTTACTGTTAAAAACGGTGTTTTCTACTTCGTCGGTGCAAAGGGGTTATAAAAAAGGCAAGTGGGTAACCCAGTTAGTTGAAAGTCAGCGTGTGAAGAGAATACTAGGAGATTGGTGTGAAATAGCCACCAACCTGGAAGTTGTCAGCTGGTCGGCAGTTCCGCATGGGAGGCTATGGAGATAGGACTAGATTGCGAGAATATGAAGAATTTATGCTGTTAGAAGCCATTTCCAGGGAACGGCTGGTGAAGCTGGAAAATATTTAGCGGGTGCTGTGGTGATGTATGCATTGTGAAGATCAGTAATAGCGCTTTAATTTCTTGTAGTTCCGAGTGGTGTGTATAAGTGGTCAATAAATCTATTCAGCAATTCATACCCCGTCTATAGTCATACACACACAATGTGACAATACTATCCTGGTAGTTGTCTGGATGAAGCAAGAAAATTCATGAAATTTTTTTGTCAGAATGGTAAGTGTCGCGGCTGAAATTTGAGTAGGGCACCTCCTGAAGGCAAGATTGAAACATTACAGCTTGAGCCCAATTGCTCGATGTGACGGCTGTGAAGGCGATACAAAATAACAAGAGTTTTTACACATTTTCACAGAAATAAAAGACTATGAGTAGTCTGTTTCAAAACACCCTGTAATTTCGAAGTACTGGATTTCTGGAATTTCCCGGTAGGAAGCGCATGCATTCTGCATGTGGCTCGCATCCCTGCTCCCTGGATCTTTAATGACAGGCGATATAGGCTGACCGTAACAGCGTAAATAATTTAAGGGCATTTCCAAAAATATTCCGTCCCTTTAAATTCTGAGTTGAATGCAGAGGCTGACGTTTACGGGCGGAATGCTGATCCTCACCACCAGCAGCAGCACTCTACACGTCGTGCTTCGACGCTTTGATAAGCATAAAAGCTTAAACTCAATTCATGATGCTAGACTGATGAAACGGTTCAGTAAACATAAAACCTTAAATTTCAATCCAAGATGCTATACTGATATAAACATTAAGTAAGCATTAAGGCTTGAATTTCAATTGAAGGTGCTATGCTTATGCAAACGTTCAGTAAGCATAAAAGCTTCAATTTCAATTCAAGATGCTATACTGATGCAAACGTTCAGTAAGCATTAAAGCTTGAATTTCAATTGAAGGTGCTATGCTTATGCAAACGTTCAGTAAGCATAAAAGCTTCAATTTCAATTCAAAATGCTATACTGACGCAACAGTTTAGTAAGCATAAAAGCTTAAATTTCAATATAAGATGTTAGCCTTTATGTAACTTTATGTAACCGTTCAGTAAATATAAACGCTTAAATTTCAATTCAAGATGCTATTTTGAAGTAATTTTTCGGTAAGCATAACAGCTGAAATTTGAATTCAAGATGGTATACTGACGCAACAATTTAGTAAGCATAAAAGCTGAAATTTCAGTTCAAGATGCTATAGTAATGTAACCGTTCAGTAAGCATAACATTTGAAACTTCAGTTCAAGATGCTATACTGATGTAACCGCTCAGTAAGCATAAACGCTTACATTTAAATTCATAATACATACTATACTGATGTAACTAGCCGATCACAGTGGCCGTGCGGGTCTACGGCATGAACTGTCTTCGCCCGCTTAAACACTAGGGTCGTGAGTTCGAATCGCACTTGAAGTATGGATGTTTATTTGCGTGTAATCTGTGTTTTTGCTCTCCCGTTTTCAGGTAACCGCCTTGCGACGAGCTGATCCCCCGTCCACGGAATCTTACCGACTGTGTAAAAGCTCAAGTAACTGAAAAAAAAAGTCCAAGGCCCAACAAAGGGCTGTAGGGCCATAGAGAGATAGTGATGTAACACTTCAGTAAGCATAAAGGCTGAAATTCATTACATGTTGCTATATTCATGTATACATTCAGAAAGGACGAAAGCTGAAGTTCAATTCATTATGCTATATTAAGGTGACTTTTCCGAAAGCATGAAAACTGAAACTAAATTCATATTATTGTACTTAGGTTATCGTTCAGTAAGTTTGAAGGCTAAAATATCCATTTATATTATTAATATTCAGCTAACGACCAAGTTCCGGCCTGGGCCATGAGGAAATCACAATATCATCTTGCATCTGCCGTAAAAAAATCGTTTGTACTGAATATTGTCCTTGAAATTCTCTGTAATCCTTCAGAGATACTCCAAATGCAACTTGAATATTGAATACTTGTTTACTACTCAAGTAATACTTTGCACAGAAACTGTATAAATAGTGTGAATTACGTGTATATCAGTTAGGGGAAGACAAACAGTGCCGAAGTTTGAGCATGCTGCAGGGTGCCACTCTAATGCTACAATGAGCTCAATACGGTGGAGGGGGATTATGTACAGGTACACAGTTTCCAAATTTTATACCTTAAATTCAAGTTTTTGCGCACAGAAGCGCAGTTATGTCTGAACTATTATCATTCTGTACATATTTGAAAGTATAATAATGACGAGGCGGAAGCTCTGAATCACGAAATTTCGGGTTACCATAGCAACGAACTGTTGAGCGCTAACACGTTGCACGGACGCAAGCTATGTATTAGCTCACGAACGAGCGAGGATTCCTTTACTTCGGTGTACAATAAACATCCCCTGAACGTTGAAAATATTTCAATATAAATACGTGTTGTGTAATTGCCTATATTACATAAAGAAAACAGTTTACAATTATGTCTGCGTGTTATTCGTGGAAGATGGCTTTATACGTCGGCCTCGACGCATCATTTGATAACACGTGCGTCCGTGAAGGAGTACCGGGAAAATAGAGGATGTTGAAGAGTGCGCAGCCTTGTCATGGCAAACACGGGACTTCCTGTTGAAATTTCAACGGGTGTTACATTAATTTATTCATAATTTGTACTCTTCTTCAAGTATTGTATAATTAGAATGTTCAAGTCAAGGAGGATGAAATGGGCAAGGCATGTAGCGGTCGTGGCCAGTCAATTTACCCGGTATTTACCTGAGACTTAAGAAACCCACGAAATATCTTAGTTCGGATAGCCGATGTCCCGACCGGAAATCCTAACCTAGTACCTCCTGAAATCGAGTCTGCAGTGTTACCGATACACAGTTCGCTCAGTGAAATGTGTTTATTGTGGCTCTATATCACTCTGCTATTCATTCTCTTTTGATTCACTACAAGTGTAAAAATTAATGTTGCGGACATCTGTTTCAGGAGCAAAGTGGCTGCAGCACTGCTCAACAAACACCTGCAGATAAACGGAATCAGCGCAGGCATCACGTCCTTGCAACAGCCACTCAACTGTGACGCCATGCCCGGAGCGACTGGCCCGGAGTCCGTTACGGAACCCATCGCTAGCAGCAGCAAGATGAAACGGGAGAGAAAAGCTGCTCGCACCCTGGGAATCATCATGTCTGCCTTCCTCGCCTGCTGGCTCCCCTTCTTTCTATGGCAAGTCTACCGTTCTTCTTTGTGACCAGAATAGCTCGGTCGGTAAGGTAACCGACGTTCCCACCTCATGACTCAAGGGACGCGGGTTCAAACCCGGCGGAGGTCGTGGAATTTTTAAGGGCGGAAAAATTCAAGGAACAAGTCCTCCGGGAGGGACTTTAAGCCGTGGGTCCCGTGTCGTAGATTTGCGGCACGTAAAAGATCCTCATGTCTCTAGAAGGACATTAGGCTAAATTAGGCAAAAATTTCCCGCCCAAGTAGTATCAGGTACCGAGGGCCGACCTCGTTGGCTGAACGGGGCTGATAGCACGAAAAATTAACGGTAGGGTAAGGCGACTGGTAGAATATCAAAGGGGGACGTACAATAGACTATTAGTCGCGGTGCATGGGAAAAACCACCCACCTCTAATAATAATTCAATTCAATTCAATTCAATGCTTTATTTATTTACGTGCCGAGCTCAACAGCGGAGGCCAATTACAGAGTCAGCGCGGAAAATATAAAACAACAAACAACAGACAATAATAAAAATCAAGACAATACACACATAGATAATAACAGGTCAAAAACGTTAAGTATTTGGAAAATTAAAAACAATTAACAGCAAAAAACTAATTGCATACTTAGCTCAAAAGCCAGTGACAAGTTAAAAAGACAGTGCAAATAGTAAAAAACAACCAAAAGTACAAAAATTATCAAACTAAACAATTCAAACTTAAACTAGATTTACTAAAAATGTCTACAAGTTCGCAAACAAAATTTGCAGCAACAACACATCTAGCTGTGGGACAGCGACTGAAAGAACAGCTAAATGTAGAAAAATTTCGAATGTTCCGAGAAGGAACCCGCAAACCGACCGCATCAAGGACAGAGGAGCAATAT